AACTCCTGACCTTGTGATCCACCTGCCTCAGCCTCCCAAAGTGCTGGGATTACAGGCATGAGTCACCACATCTGGCCCTGTTTATTAAATTTTAAACTAACTCACAGGAAACTAAAGAATTTTCTCACTTGAGCTAGATCAAACAATGTCGAAGAGAACTCTATATGGCATAGCAACTATATGCGAATACCTTGGTTGAAATTTTGGTTAATTTAGGAAGAAAAGCTAATTAGAGTGTTGAGTTAGGAAATGGTACCTTGGTTATCTTTGTTATCTGCTAAGAAAGATATTTTACTTTCAGCATTTAATTCTTAGTATATTACTGTACTTTTTGTGGAAAGAGATTATAAGTTATTTCTGAAGCTGTGCAAACATATGTAGCAAGGATAATTGGCTTAAAATATATGTTTAAATGTATATAGATACTTTCATTTATGGAACATCAAAATTAAACAAATTATAAAGTAGGATGTAGGCTCATTTTCTACTTCTTGCAGATACAGAGGCAGGCAGACAAAGCAAGAAAGAATGAAAGAGTAAGGAGAGAAACAGACAAAATCCAAGATCTAAAGAAAGTGAAAGAAAATGAGGAAGGGAGAGACCAAAAGAGAGAGAGGGAGGAAGGGAGGAGAGGGGAAGGGAGAGGAGATGAGGGAAGAGGTAGAGAAAAGGAGAGGGAGAATGAAAAGCAAAAGAGAAGGAGAGAAAAAGAAGACTAAGAGAAGGAGAGGGGAAAAAAGAGAGAAAGAGAAGACAGAGACCAACACAGATTGTAAGCAGAGATTGAGAAAGAGAGATTGATGAGAAGGACAGTGAGAGAAATCAAGACAGAGACCAAGAAAAAGAGACTGAGCTTGAGACTGCGAAAGAGAGAAAATCTGGGATAGCAACAGCAAAGAAATAGGAAGAAAGGTAGAGCAGAAAGTAAGTGATAGTTAGACAGGGACAGGCAGCTTTATTTCTAGAAATCAGCTTTACCCAGGCTGGAGTGCAATGGCGCGATCTCGGCTCACTGCAACCTCCGTCTCCTGGGTTCAGGCAATTCTAGTGCCTCAGCCTCCTGAGTAGCTGGGATTACAGGCACGTGCCACCATGCCCAGCTAATTTTTTGTATTTTTAGTAGAGACGGGGTTTCACCATGTTGACCAGGATGGTCTCGATCTCTTGACCTCGTGATCCACCCGCCTCGGCCTCCCAAAGTGCTGGGATTACAGGCTTGAGCCACCGCGCCCGGCGAAACTTATTTTCATTCTTTCTTTCCCTTCTGGCTTAAAATCTCTTAAACTGATTATTGGTACAAGACATAATATGGAATAGTTTATTAGGAAAATTTTTGTCAGAAATATTTCTGAGTGTATTTACAATAAAAACACATCAGCCTCTAACTTACTGGCTATCTTTTAATTTTCCTATTTGAACAATGAAGGTTATTGTATCGCTAGGGACTGTGATGCAAGGGTTACAAATAATATATGCAAAGAGAACCTGTGGTGTCTGGAGAGCAGGAATTACTTAATGATAACTATTATCATCACCATTGCGGCAGCCCTGAAGGTCCTCTGCTCAGGTCTCCTTGAACAAAGAACCAGCTGTTACAATGCGAGGAGTGTAGTTAGCTGATAGTCCTCAACTACAACACCTTTAGAATATGCTTCAGCTTTCACGCTGAGGCCACCATCTTTTCAAGCAGCCCCAGCCAATGTCTGGGCAAAATAGCCCAACACAAGGTTTTCATAATAGACAATCTTTGCTCCAGAACTCCCCATTGTGAGAACTTCTGTCATATCTGCATTGAAGACTGAGACTATCTCTGCACAATCCGGCTTCTTCCCTGCCTTCCTTTCTTAGTCATTACCCCCTGATGTTTGACCTCTTTATTCTGTCTGAATATCTGCTTCCCAGTGCTCTCATCTGACACAACTGTCAACTATCAGTCCAATTTAAAAAATATCAGCATGTATGTAGCTGTAAGCATATAGCTTCCCTACATTTTGCTATATCTGTTAAAAATATGTATATTTCTAAATCTTTACATTCAGTACATATTTACAGTCTTTACAAAAAATTATTAGTTAATAATAAACTTATTATTAGTTAATAAAAGACTAGTGCTTATCAATACAGGTTTTGGGGACTGAGGCAACAAAACTAAAGTGTTCTACCTGCATTGCTTTCAAAAGCAGACCTATAGTGGGAAGATGGAACCTTGACTTTTCAATAATGAGAGTTTAACTTTGAAAATTTATATCTCTATGTTCAGAATCTTTTTCGGGTGAAACAATTCATAATCATGAAATACATTTCATAGTGCTATAAAAACATTTCCAGCACTTCTCATGTGTCCTATTATCTCAACTTGAAAAAAAGATTTAAACTTAAAAAATAAATGATTTTCTGGAAAAAAATAACATGTCATATATTAAGTAAAAAAAATCTGCTGAAAGACAAAATAGTTTAAAATATAGGTGGAGCAGGATGGCCAGGGATGCCCATCCTCCAAGGCTTGCCATACTATTGTAGGTAGCTTTAGCCTTTGGGTAACTGTAGGACCTGGACAGAGTAGGGCAGTCTTGTCCACAGGATGCGGCCAGTCTGATCTGAGTATCCCCATCTGCCAGCCTCTCCTGGGGCCCCAGCCTGGTGTGTTTGCTTGCGGCACAGCCTCACATGACCAACCAGGGTGCTTCCTGGGGACACTCCTCATAGCTCCTTCACTAGCAGACCATGCCTAAACATCAGAGAGCTCCCACTGACCAGTCATCATGGATGCACAATGCCTACCTACAGCCTCCACTCCCCTGCAGCCTCCCCCAACCTCGCTTTGCCATCATGCACTAACCCAAGGTCCTCTCCACTGCTTT